CTTTATTAACTAAAGCAGTAAGTGTACACAAGAAGAGTTTATTATTATTATATTAATCAATTCTATTCAATTTTCTGTAGTTGGTTGAGTCAGAAGATGTTGCTATGAACTGCAAGAGTAGGTGTGAGGAGCAGCACATTCCTTTCTTTCGCTTTAGTCCTCATCTTGATACTGAAGTGGCTTCTGGTGAGACTGACAGCTATAAGCTCATAGATATGATACTACAAACTAAATATCAGGTCAGTCTGGCAATAGCAATTAAGTAGAGCATGATAGAAACTTGGCATATACCGTATACCGGTTTATATTTGTGGCAAAATATTTTTGCAAATTTTGTGGCTTGTGATCAGTCGTGAAAATTTTTTGCCGTGAAATTCTGCTCTCCATTGCCATGTGGTGCAGTCTGCAAGCAATTCATGAAGATTAATTTCGCAAAATCTTAGAAATGCAAGGTTTGCAAAAAATTTTCCACCACAAAAATAAACCGGTATACAGTACTTGCCAATGACAGTTTAATAAAATGAATTTTGCCATCTTTTAAAATTATTTTCATAATTTCTAACTCATTTTGCTTACACTCAAACTCATACATTGCAGGCTGTGAATGAATGGGATGAAAAGCTTGAAGATTTAGGATGTATATTCTCACGAATTGAGGAATACAGTCGTAAACAAATGCTGCAGAGTCTGAGAGACAGAAGGAGACTTCGAACAATAAGCAGCCAAAATGACATCATTCCAGAAGAACAATGACACTCCAATCAGATAATTATTGCATTATTATTATTATTATGAAATACAGTGTAGGGTGGGTTACAGGGAAAGAGAATAAAATAGGTTAAACCAGAATAGTAGGGTAGTAAAAAATAGTAGAAGTCACAAATAAGAACAAAAATAGAGTAGGAATTATTATTATTATTATTTAATAGTTATTATTATTACATTACCCACCTTAAATACCCCCTCATTTTTATTATTACCATAATTATTTTTATCTAAATCTACTATTATTATTGTTTCATTATCGTCCAATTCTATGTATAGCAACATCATCATCACATTTAGTTTTTTGTATTATATAATAAATTTGATTATAAAATAAATAAAAATGTAGAGATTAAAAATCACTTTAAATTTAGTTATCTCTATTGCTATTACCTGGACTGCAATGTGCAATGCCGTATTACCAAAAGCAGCAGGCATATCAATATATATATATATATATTTTTTTTTATATATGAATAAAATAAAAAATTTTATTTTATTCATTGTTAAGGAATTATAAATGAGTCTTCAAAACATACATTAATTATGCTTTAATTTTTCTATTTTCTCATCTTTTGTGTAGAGATATAAATCAAGCTCTCCTGATTTATCTGTAAGCCAATGCATGCACATTAATAGCCATTAGTAATCAACTTATTATATGTAGCTATTGGACAGGAAGAAGCCACCAGGATCACCTGAAACACGTCATTTACCAGTGAGCTATATCAGCAGAGGTAAGTGGATAGTGATAAGAATGCATTTATTAGTTGCCTTTCTGAATAGTCTTGATTGATGTAGTGTATGCCTTCTGAATGGTTTTGCTTTAATGTAACATGGTGTGCTTGTATTACATTATTGCTTTTATGATTAGAAACTACGAAAGTATCTCAGAGTGAAGAAATACGATCAAGTCCAGAGAGATGAGAGAATGAATACGCCTCTTCATGCCATTGTACGAAGTGATAGAAAAGATAAATTAGAGTATCTACTGATACTAATGGTGTTCAGTGACTATGGGACTGAAACTATTGATATGCCTGCTGCTTTTGGTAATACAGCATTGCTCATTGCAGTCCAGGTAATAGCAATAGATATAGCTAATTTACAGTGATTTTAATCTCTACATTTTTATTTAGAAAGGGGATTTATTAATGGTCCAACTACTCTTAGTATTTTGTGCAAATATTGATGCAATCAATGATAAAAAGAGAACCCCACTTGACATGCTCATCAACAAAGGCAACGACAAAAAATTTTCCAAAATCATTGAAGAGCTGAAGAGACTTGGCGCTAAGCATGGTCAAGAGGTAGTACCAGTTCAAAGGGAAAAGCATCACTCTACAAGACTAATGTCCATTTCAATCAATCTGCCAGAGAGGCAGGAAAAATTTACTGATCTTCAGCGAAATCTAAGATCCGAGAGTATAGGAATGGGGATTGAGAAACCGAGGGCACTGGTAAGTAAAATGGGGAAATTGTGAATGGTGAAAATTGGTGATAGTTTATGCTATTTCTGCCTAGTGAATGTGAATGATGACAACAGTATATTGTGTTTAGGGTAATGTGAATGAAAGTGTATATTGTACTTATTGAATCTGAATGTCCATATTGACCAGTAATTGATTTAAGTTATATATTTAGAGTTCTCTCTCTTTCATGTAGTCTATTGATGGTTTGTCTCCAGCAGTCATTGCCCAAAAGTTAGAGACAAATCTGAATGAGTTGTATGATGAGTATGATCGTATCCATAACCTTGACATGCAAATGGCAATTGGGCTTCAACAGTTTGAGCTACATGGTTGGAGAAAGACGTCATCATCAGCTATGAAGTTTAATGTAAGAAAAGAAACATACTGCTGCTATCTTCCACTCTCCATTTCTTTCTCTTTCCTTCGGTACATGGTGGTAGTCGTATCCTGTTTCTTGATGGAGGTGGAATAAGAGGATTGATACAAATTGAAATGATGAGCATCATCGTATAACTCACTGGTAGGACCATCACTGAACTGTTTGACTGGATAGTAGGGACCAGCACTGGAGGAATAGTAGCATTAGGACTAGTGTATGGTGAGTAATGGGACAATGTTTGTAATTATTGACTTGTTTTTTGCTAATTGTAGGTAGGAAGACTCTAGCTGAGTTGAGACAG